AAAACACACGTAAGTTCCACACTAAAACTAGGTGACAATCTATTTAAAACCATCCTCTGGACTGTATTGGGCTTCAAAACCGCAGTAAATCAACTGCTACAAATTACTAGAAACTTCTGCACAAAAATAAGACTTCAATCATTAGTTTCCTAAATTATCTCCATAATTAGAAACTAGGAATATTCCTTGAATTGAGCTTGAATCTCTTAATCCTTAAACTGAGCGCCACATAGGATATCATAATATTCCCAGAATATTCTACATCTTTAAAATCTCAAAGAATCCAGCTGTCCAGTTGTACACGGGCGTGATGTCAAATGATTCTGCATAGAACATCTTATCCAACATATTTCTCTAGTTGTTAGAACATCTTCTTTCAACATGTTTATGCTAAGTTAGTTTTACCAAACATAATGTGAATCATAAAAATAGAGAATTAACAAAATCATATAATAGTACACTGACATTCTATTCACAAAACTAACTAAATGGTTCCCATTGAGTATAATGGGTGTGAGGTGTGCTAATACCTTCCCCTCGCATAATCGACTCCCGAACTCGAATTTGGTTGTGAAGATCATTTATTTTCGTTCTTTAATGGTTTTATTGATACTTTCCTTTTACTTTTGGTATAAATAAACTTCGATGGAAATTCTGTTGTATTTCGAGCATTCGTTACGCTCAGGTTCTTTTTGTGTCGCGACAGTTGGTGGCTCTGCTGGGGAAATAACTCCCTAAAGAGAGTCAAACATATTTGGGGTTGTGTTTTGTGTTAAGTGTTTGCATTTGTTTGCTTGATTTCTTCTTCATATTTTAATCTTTTTTATCTCTTATGTGTTATTATAACTGTCCATCTCATATGTTGTGGTTAGGTTTCTCTGGTTACTGGCACATTGTGAGTAAAGCTCTATACCCGAGTTTTGAGAATAAATGTAAGATTAAGATGATGGTTGTGTAGTGATGGCCTTCTTGACGTACGTATCGCTTGGTTGGCACAAAGGCCCCGCCTATAGTAGATCCCCTTGGGGTATAGTTATCTTACGAGTATTCGTTATGGCGATTATATTTTCAAATGGGATTCGTGGCTATAGGGACCTTTTGTCTATAACCTAAACTTATTACTAGGACTAATAGTTATGTAATGTTGACCTTCTTGACATATGTCTCATTAGGTTGGCATGAATACCTCACTCAAAAGAGATATTTTTTAGAGTATAGTTGTCTTACGAGTATTCGTTATAGCGATTATATTTTCAAATAGCATCCATGACTCTGGGAACCGCGTCTAGAACCTTGGAGTTAACGGTTGTGTAGAGTTGGCCTTCTTGACGTATGTATCGCTTGGTTGGCACGAAAATCTCACCTAGTGTAGATCCTCTTGAGGGTGTAGTTGTCTTATGAGTATTCGTTATGACGATTATATTTTCAAATAGGATTCATGAATCTAGGAACTTGATGAAATCCTAGAGCCTACATGTGAGGGGATTAATGATCAAAGAAATATACTTGAAAATACTCCTACCATGAGAACTCATACTCAGATTCTTCAGAACACGCCATACCTATGAACTTAAACCATATGTACCATTGCATTACATACATTTGCATAAAAATTTCTTAGCATACGACTTTTATTTTCTTAGAACCTAAAGACTTAAGTTGTATTGTGAGCATTTGAAAGCAAAATGAGTTTAGATATGAGGAATACTTATTCATTCAAACTCAAGTCTTCAAAGTTGGAAAGTTTGAAAGATTTGATATCTTGTTTACCTCTCATCATCAAGAATAGTTTTGGGAATGATTATGGGAATCTCCTTAGTCTTCTACACAAAGAAGTAGATGCAAGGGTAATCATGACTTTGGCTCAATTCTATGACCCTCCTTTGAGGTGTTTCACATTTCAAGACTTCCAGCTAGCTCCTACATTAGAAGAATTTGAGCATATTGTGGGTATTTATATGAAAGTCAAAGCTACTTTCACTGGTTTAAGGGAACTTTAGAGACATGAGATAATAGTCTTTGTGTTACATGTGGACAAAAAGGATGTGAATCTTAATCTAGAGCCTAAAGGAAATACTCATGGTTTCTTAAGAAAGTTCTTAATGGAAAGGGCCTCCGCCTTTACCGACAAAAAAAGTTGGGATGCTTTCAGTGTCGTGTTATCCTTGCTTATCTATGGGATCGTCTTGTTCCCCAATATTGAAGATTTCATCAACATGACAGTCATCTGTATTTTCCTGACTAAGAACCCAGTTCCTACATTGTTTGTTGGTGTGTATTATTCCATCACCTTAAGGCATGGGAATAAAGGTGGAATGGTCGTATGTTGTACTCCCTTGCTGTACAAATGGTTCTTATCTCATCTTCCAAAAAAAGGACCAGTTGTTGAAAACAAATTTAACCTCAATTGGCCTCAGAAAATAGTGTCTCTCACTGCAAGTGATATCTCCTGGTACTCTCATGATTACGATGGCATTGAGATAATCTTCAATTGTGGATATTTCCCTAACGTACCACTCATAGGGACTAAAGGCCGCATTAACTATAACTCTGCTCTAGCTCTCCGAAAACTCAGTTACCATATGCCATACAAACCGTATGATAAGTTGTTGGAAATATTTTTCTTACATGAAGAGTCGGAAGATCCTAGCATGATGAAGACAATAAAGCGATCATAGGGTATGATTAACCGCAAAGGGAAACAACTTGGCAAGAAGAACTGTATTGCTAAAGATTCATACACACAGTGGCTCAAAGAAAGGGTTAAGAAAGATAAGCTTTCTTTCTCCATTGAGCACCCTACCCATCTAAGAACACCTGAGCCAATTCATGTTCCCATAGAGGAAGCCAATTAGCTCAAAGAAACCATCCCCAAGCTTGAAAAAGAGAATGAAGAGCTACAGTTGAATCTTAATCGAGTTTCCCTTAAGAAGAATGATTTGAAATGGAATCTCAAACAAAAAGAGAAGCAACTCAGTGAAAGTGAGGAGATGGCCTATGAAGAAAGGGGAAAAGAAAGAGAGTAGCAAATTTCTTATCATGAGCTAGTCATGATCTTGGCTTTCATAAACAACAACTAGACGAAGCCTTGGAGGAAAATGGCTAGTGGAGGGTCATTTGGGAACAAACTATGAAGGAGAGAAAAGAAATGAGAGAAGGGTTCAAAGCTCGAATCTGTGATATCACATAATTACTCAAAGATTTTCAAGCTCTTGCATCACATGAGTGTCGCCTCAGAGAAGAAGTTGAAAGTTTATCCCAAAGACTTTCCGCTGATTGGAGGAAAGCATGCAAAGAGCTGGAAGTCCTTAGAGCACGTGAACATCGCCTGGGGGAAGATTATGAAGCCTTGGGGAACCAGAGCCTACAGAGAGAGATCTACATCAGACATATACAAAGTATTATGGGAAATTCTCTAACCCGGTGGAGTTTGCAAATGGCCTGGTCTAAGATATGCCCAGGATGCTGAGAGATCCCATTGATGAGATGACCCCTGACAACACTCCTCAAGAAGTTTTTTATTTTGTTTTATCTTTTAAAGATATGATGAAAACGTTTAGGGCTGACTTAGAAGTGCTTAAAAAGTCAAGAGCCAAGAACGTAGCCAAAATTATCTTTTTTGAACATTGTATCTTCTTTTTCTAATGAATGAATGAATAAATGGCTTGTCTTTGCATCAACTGTTGGTTTTGTCTTCTATTTTGTTCTCGTACTTTTGAATTAACAACTACAAGTCTACGTTATTTCCATCCACGCACCAACATGCATCATCATACAAAAAACTCTTTACATCTTTTTCATCTCCAAAAAACTCGATCACTTCAAACTGATTCCTCGAAACCCATACAATACTCGGGCTAACACCCGAAGAACGATGGATCAACTTGAACAGAATCAAGATTCTCTAAAAGTAGATATAGACACCATGAGAAGCAAGATGGACTAGTTTTTGGAAACCATGTTAGCCCTAGCAAAAAGGAAGATGATCTTCGAAACGCTACTGTGGCAGAGAACGCCATTCCAGCACTGGGCTATACTTCGCTCTCGCGACCCGTCGTGACCAATCCAATATACGGTCTCCCACCCGACTATACTCCCCAGAAGCGAATGATATTATTCAACCCCAACTGGTGCATATCATAGTATCCAATGAGATCTCTACGATGTAGGGAAATTCCACTGTTCAAGCTGGAATATCCCACCTCCCAACGAGATCTCTATGTGCAAGGAAATTCTACGATGCATGAAAATTCCATTGTTTAAGCAGGAAAAACATGTGATATATTGTGATAATCAAAGCGCTTTGCACATTGCGGCCAATTTAATTTTCCAGAAACGAACTATACACCTTGAAATAGATTATCGCATTGTTAGAGAAAAGCAAACGACAGAACTCGTGAAATTGCTACTAGTGAAATTCATATATCAATTGATTGATTTCTTCGCAAAGCCTTTGCACCTCAACCATTTCAAGCTCTCTTACTCAAGTTGAAGATGGTTGACATGAAGACAATAATAAAGCATGAAGACAATGTAAATTGACAGTTAAAGTTTGTTGCATTACAGTTACAACTCAGCTACTTGCTAGTCAAGCAACAATCTAGTGTACACCTCAGAATATTTATCAAATCCAAGTATGGCTCTTGTGCATGAAAAACTGAAAGAAAAAAAGCATATACTTAAGGTATATTCTTATGGTGAAGATGTCACTAATAAAGAAAAAGATAATTCAACTTACTTGATCCGAGAGATGAAAAAATGACTTCGTATAAGTCGTAAATAAAAAAATCATTGAGAAAGAAGTTTTAAGTGTTTTTTTACATCCTTTAAATGCTACGGTATAAAAAAAAAATCAAAATCATGATACAAGCAAAGCAACGGGCAGTGTTGCTCCATTATCTGTGTAATTACATATTATAATAATAACAAATCAAAGATGAAAAGATTAACAAAAATTATAATAAAAAATAAAAAACACTCTACATTTTCAATAACATGTATTACTTTCTACCCCCAATTTTACGCTTCATGTCAACAGGAGCTGGACTTCTCCCTGTCTTATGTGAGACAACTTTTGATTGTTTCAATGAAGGTGAAGGACCAAGAGAAGTATGAACAGAACTCTTGCTGAAAAATTAACAAAAAAAAGTTATTAAGTTAGGGATTGAAAAAGAAAATCTGAAACACTTTTATATTACCTTAATTGTGGGCTTTTTGTTGGCTTTGAGACAGATTTCATAATAGTCTTTGATCCAATTCCATTGGTCAAACCGGTAAGTTTAGAATGATTAAATTGCCAAAGCAAGTCAGGTTCTGAGGAATCACTGGTTGCAGCGTCGATCTCATCCATGTTATCATCTGAAGCCATAATGCTATTAAACTGGTTTCCTCCCATGAACATATTATAGGACTGTTCTGAATACATTTTGGAAGAATCTTGGAGATACGTTTGATAAAAGGCCTCAGATAAGTTTACATTGCTTTCTTGCCAACAATCCAAGAGGTTGTTGTCAGTTTTGTTCGCTTCTAGCTTGTTTACCATTACCTTATCAACCCATTCTCCGGAACCTGTTTCTTTCTCATCCTCACCGTCGTTTGGTCCAAGACTATTTACTGGGGGCCAGGGTGGTGAATTTACTGATATCTCATCGAAATCAATGCTTTTAGTTTTCTGTCTCAATATGGTTTTACTCTGAAGCTGCAAGAAGAATAGTTTAAATCATATCTAACTTCAACGTGGAATAGTAATTACCAAACAAAATTTGCAAGTCATATTCTCACAAAATCTAATATCAAGAAAAATCTCTGCAATAGAACTTTTTTGGATAAGTCTCTGCATTAGCTTGGCCTACAAGTTTTCAATTTCGAATATTTAAAGTGTTTGATCCTAGACAGTTTAGGGGAAGTTGAGCACATAAAAATTGTATCTCAAGGTTCTCGCTAAATCATTCGTAACCATGTGTCTGTTCTCTACACTAAATATAGAGGGATTCATTAATTGTTTTTTGCACAGATGGAGAAATTAAACGTGCATACCTCTATGTTGCCAACTTCAACCATTGGTCGCCTGTATCCAAACCGGTCGCCCGAGTCTACAACCCGTTGGTTTAAATGATATGGTGATAGCTCAGTCTTTGTCCTATATTTTTCAGAGCTTCCAGAAAAAGAATGTTCCGATTCCCCTTCTTTTCTTGCCAGTGCTGCTTTAAGGCTAGCAATCTAAAACACGCATAAATAGTTAGACTTAAATGTAATTGAAGTTAAAAAATTATGATGAAGAATAAGAGATGTTAGATTTGAATAGCAACCTGTTCTTTGAGCTCTTTAACATTTGCACCATCTTTGTTTACTCGCGCAGCACCAAGTTCAACTGTTGCAACTCTTTCTGCAAATTTTAAAGTACTAATTGTCTCTCCAATTGCATCACTTTCTGGACTTATGTGAACAAACATCAGGGTCTTGGCCTGTCCTCCTGAAATAAACCCGGCAACTTTATGAGTTAAAAGAAAATGTATCACATCCAACTGGAACCAAAAAAGAAAATAGGCAGCAAAGTAACTTCATAAAACTTACCAAGTGAATCTTGGAGCAATTGTGTGAGTTTACTATTTCTATAAGGTATGTGTGAGTTTTTATGAGCCAGAGAAGCTATGACATCGCCCAAAGCTGATAAGGATTTGTTAATATGTTGTGCCTCTTTTAGTCTATCTCCAGTAGCCTCTGATTTATCCACCCTCTCACTTCCTGCTAAGTCAACCAAATGCATGCATCCGCGGATGGTTGCTCCGGATGCCAAATCTCTTCCTTGAACATGAACAGTCAAGCAACTGCAAAATTGAAATTTTTAATAGGATAGTTAACACCTCTCTATGAAATACCATCACAAAAACAAGAGAGGATAACAAGGAAGTGAATAGAGTATACCTATGAGATCGACTACTGCGGTCGTTAAGGGCTGTTGCTCCAACAGCACGGTTCCTGTGCCCAAGGTTCATTAGTTCAATAACATCAATAGTTGATGACACTGGGACAAGGCTGGCATCTGGCACACTGAGCCCTTTGTGAGAGCTGCTATGAATTTCTAATGTATTAATGGTTAAGTGCAACATCATGACTAAAGGTTGTTTTCATTGTGAGAAGAACTTAACTAAGAGTTATTGAAAATTTCTGGAGTGTTACTTATGTTCTAGTAACTTTTAAAGTTATATAAGACCCGAAGGTATTTATAGTATTTTTTCAAAAGAGAAAAAAAAAAAAGAGATGAAAGGATATTTTTTGTTTGTTCCATCAGTGACCAATAGATCTCTCACTTGCTCATTATAAATTTCAATCATTTGAACACAAACATCATAGTGGAAAGTATCCTTTCTTTGATCGGCTATAAAAAACAAATCGCTTAGAGCCCTGTAATTTACACCTTGGCTTTTCTCTGTGATCTCTTTTGGTCCAGTCTACATGTAAAAAAAACATAAATTAAAAAAACATCACTAAATAAAAATAAAAATTTCAAAGTTTCTGTCGAAAACTTTTTGTGGACCTTACCATTGTGTAAGTTTTTCCTGATCCTGTTTGGCCATATGCAAATATGCAAACATTATAACCATCAAGAACAGATCTAATAAGTGGTTGCATATCCAGGAATACCTCCGCTGCAACATGAGATTAAATTTCAGTCATATTAAAATACAAATCTAAGAGGAAACTGAATCTAAAACTAGAAGTAACATGCTAACCTTGGGTGGCAGATGGTCCAAAGACTTTGTTAAAGTTGAAGGATCTTTGTCCCTTCCCATTCCTCGAAGGAATACTAACTGTGATTGTTCCATCTTCTATATTTTCTACTGCGCTCAATTGGTTTGGTTGTCCAGGAAAGAAGGGTCTTATTCGACAATATACCCTTATACTTCCTAACAAACAAAATCACCCCTAATTCAATTATTGGATGCAAGAAAACCTTACAAAGACATGAGTTGGAGTTGAACCTAAATGCACCGGGCAGCCATAATCTTGTTACCTTTTAGATCTTGGACTTCATTGTATAGTTTGCGATTTTCTTCCAGAACTCTATGATATCCAGAAGCAGCCTTAGCTAATCCATGAATATGCATTCCTACAAAGAAAAATGACATAAAAGTTATGTAAGATGCAGCTTCTGATTCACTCATCTGTACACCAAGAGAAGGAAGGGGGAGAACAAAAGCAAAAAAAATAGTGCTATTTGATCTCACATCCTTACCAAGATTGGAAAATTCGTCACGAAATTTCATTTGCATGAACTGCATACCAGCTTTTGTGGTGTGAAGAGTAAGCTTTAGTTCCTACAAAATATGGAAAATAAAAATATTTAAATTGCAGGGTGAAAAAATAGCAAAAATAAAATAAAAGGCCATTCAAAATCTCAGATTCTATACTTGAATGTCTCTTTGCTGTTGGTCAAAAAGCATTTTCTGATTAAGGTGTTTGGTTTGCAATTCCTCAGCAGCCACACGATTTTTATGAATGTCCTCTTTCTTAGCTACCATATGAATCTTGTTCTCCACCTAATCAACCATAAAACCATTAACTTAAATAAATGAAGCATTTCCAATCTTCATCGAGGTTCTGGAATATGCTAATCAGGAAGATTCATGTTACCTTTTTATCAAACTTTGAGGCAGATCCGTTTCTTTGAGAAACATGATCTCTTAAAGTAATTTTTGCCTGTAAGTTACATGATAAGGAATAAATAAGAACAGTTTGTCATGAAAATAAGTTTAAGCAAAAACAATTATTCATTGAGAATGGTGTAAGCAAATAGGGAAAGGTCTGTCTGGTCCCCTAAAAACTAATGACTTTATTAGAAGGATAAAAGTGTCATACCTGTTCACCTTGGCTTGCAATACGGTGTTCAAACTCCTCAACTACCTTATTCAAAACAGATTCAACCAACTGTTCCATGCAGAAGAAGAGAAGTATTAGTTAAAAGAAGCAGTTTTAAAGAAACTATAACATTTAGGCCTAGATTGGATTAGTATTTAGATAACAAAAAAGTTATTCACAGACAATACCGTTTTTATAAGTTAATAGGTGTTCATGGAGAAGTTAAATGATAGAGTTTCTTAAAAGTTGAGATGCAGAAGTTAATTTCAACATTGGTGAAGTCATGATGAACTTGATGATTAGTAAAATGATAGAGTTTTGGTGAAATTCAGTTGCGAAACACATAGAACAGAACCACATATGCCTTACCATTGGAATTTCTTCTGGCTTCTTATCTGACAGAATAGAATGAACAAGCATACTCAAAGAAAGGGAACCAGACTGCAAAAATAGAAATGTGAAAATTCCAAACTTATTACTCCAGTTCAATAAGTCTAATCAAGAGTAGGCATAATATAAAAATAAAATAAAAAAAATCAAGCTTACCTACCATTTTACTAGACTCGACATCAGAATTAAGAGTAGCTAGAGTTTTTTCATTGATTGAAGAAGTCCTTGACAAGGAATTAGTGAATGGGTCCGAGTTTTTTCTCACAAAAGATTTAGCAGAAATATTAGGTTTGGGATTTCCACCAAACTTCCACGCACCATTTGCACCATTCTGTTTCCATTCACAGTACGACTTAAGAGCCAAAACGCAATTCACAATCCTGGATGATTTTCCTCCCTAAAAATTCATCAGAATAATTCATTATTGAATTTGCCAACATGAGATGCTAAGAGTATATATCTCTATTAACAACCGAGTTCACAGTGTTACACATTTGTTCTTCCTAATTAACAATTGAATTCAGGATAATAAACATCTATCTATTTGAGGCATAATTACATACTTGCTCCAGATCAGATGGCTCAAAAGTAGGAAGTCCAATTTCTTGTACAGCCACCATAAAATTCCTCACATTTTCAAAATATTGATAAGCTGATAATGGTGCCCCATTCGGGATCAGCGCAGAATCAACCGGACTCTCCACAACCTGAAAAGGAAAATATAAAAAAAAAAAAATTCTTCTTAACCCTCAAATTTCTATCCAGATTTGTTAAGGATTGTTGTAAAGTGCTCTCAATCAATTCAATCTTAACCTTAGTTTATTAACCGGTTGATCCAAGTCAATGTAAAATGTAAACAAACAACAGCATAAACCCAAGTAAATAAAATCTAGATTCACCTTAGGAACAGCTCCAGATTGAACTTTATTAATAGCATTACATAAGATAATTCCACTTCTCAAAACCAGCCTAAACTCTTGTTCAGATGGCTCCGCGGGTAAATCCTTAGCAGCAACAACTCCAATAATTTTTCTCAACCAACCGGCCGCTTCATATCTTCTTGATGCTGCATATCAAATCAACATTTTCCATTTCCATATAATTAAATTATACTACAAATACAAATTTCAGTTGAAACTCAGTAAAATCAATAAAAATATACAAATACAAATACATCAACACACCAGCTTCTTCTGCTTTCCTAAATTCTAAATCAAGATCCTTGAGGCGATGACCGTGTTGCTGAAGTACGTCTTCCACAAGAGATGCGGCTGAAAATGCTCCTGATTCCATAACTGAAACTCGCTCACAGCACAAGAGAGAGTACCGGAAAAGTTTATCAGCAATGTAGAGTATCAGAATCCATGTGATGAAAATTGGAAAAAGTGGACTCGCAGAGAGAGAGAAAAGAATCGAGGAGAAAGCAAGAGAGAGAACGAAAAGTGAGTGAAATATAATGGTTGAGAATGCAGAGTGTTGTTGTTGTGAGATTTCTTTCTTTGTTAGTTGTTACAAAAATTCTCGATCACGTTTTTTTTCTCTCTCTACACTCAATTGTACAACACAATATCTCTGGGTACCAGAAAAACAGGTTTATACTCACACCGAGTCACCGTTGCTTTTTCCTTTTTCAATCACGTACCTTGATCCCGAACCTAGCTCCAAACCTCTCTCTTTTCAAACCTTTTCGTTTTTTTCTTCTCAAACCAACGGTTACTTCTTTTCATAGCGCGTGTACTTCAAATTTTCCACTTCCTTTGTTTTTTATTGCATATATTTTATGGACTATGGATTACAAATAATTAAAAAAAATGATTAATTCAAATATACGGTAAATAATGAAATTCTATTATTTGAGTTTGTAAATAATAGAAGAAGTAAAATGAAATTTATAAAATCCATTTTATTTAAATTTTTATTTTTTATTTTTTTTTATGTTAGATCATGGTGGTTTATCTAAAAGGGTGAATAAATCTTTTATTAAAAATAATTTTTTAAAAATGATTACTTAAATTTTTTTTTGAAAATCAATGTTGAGCGGAAGATAATGAACTTAGTTATTAGAAACTCGAACATGCACAAGCTTTATGGAATTAAGATAATGATAAAATCAATCAACATAATAATATCTTAATTAACAGTTTAATATCAAACACAGCGATTTTTTTTTTTGAACGAAATTATGTTAAAAAATAACTTGACAATTTATCGAACATGTGGCGCACAATCAATTTTTCATAATTTTCTTTGAGTTTTATTGTATGAAAAAGCACTTTCACTCTAAGTGATTATAAGTTAATCAACAAAGAAATTTAAACTTTAACAATTAAAGAAAAATTCTATATGAATCGATTGATAACAACAAATTCAACAAATTACTTATAGAAAGTAAATGAGAGTACGAGATAGAGAGAGATATCTCAACACAAGAATTTGTTTTGAAAGTTTACCAATCGTCCTCGCTATGGCTATGTCTCCCTTCATTTCCATTTTGGAATTGAGATAAATTTCTTACTTTGCAAAAGTATGATTACAAGAGAAGTGTTCAAGAGCAACCCTACAAACTGTAACCGTTTGATGTTGATTTAACCTCTTCTCTTCTTTTGATCTTCAACGAGACCAATACATAATAGTTCTCAATTGATTTATCGAATGTTGGTACTCTTTTGGGTACCAAACTGCAAAGTTCTTTTGTTCACGATCAATTGTAACTATTGAACACAAACACTTTCAATTTGATTCATCGTTCTCTCGCTACTTTCTTGAATACCAAACTCCGAAGATTTTTTACTTGACTGCAATCCTCTTTTGAAAGTCTTATACAAAATCCCCAAATCTACCAAAGATTTAGGAGGATAAACCATAGATTTTTCGGATCAAATTCCCCATAATTCTCAACGCGATATTCTCGGCTACACAAGAACTTAATTGGATGTTATCAAAACTTGTCTAAATGACACCCTGACAAAAGATGATTATGTGTGATTTATCAGTGTGTATACATAGGTTAGAGGTTGAAGGTGAAGAGCAATGGTAGTATGTGTTTATAGTTTCATGAAGTTGGAATGATGTATGAATGATGTATTTATAGTTGTGAAAGTTTGTATGCAAATAGGTAATTTTCGAAATTAAAAAAAAAATTAAAAAATTGGTCAAATTAAACCGTATGTGTCGATCTGAAAAAGTTATGTGCCGGCAAGAAAATCGTATGTACTGGCCTAAAAGATTCTATGTTCAACACATAGAAAACATAAGTTACAATCTTTAAAAATGTATTACAACTATCGGCCTGAAAATCGTATGCGTCTGCTTATAAAATAAAAAGTTATAGTATGTGTCGGCATGAAAGATTTATGTGTCAGCACAAAGATTTATGTGCTAGCACGAAAAGCTTATATGTCGGTCTGAAAAGCGGATGTACTAGTACATATAAGTGTGTTTTGTGCAGAAAATGATTTTTCATGATTTGAATCAATTTTAAACTTGTTTTGAATGCTTCATAAGACCTCTAATGCAATGTTGCACCAAACGACACAAAGATACCGTATAATATATAAAAATGTTAAATTTTCCTAATTTTAACATCATAGAAAACATTTAATGATGAAATTACACTTTAGAATATATAAAATATTAAAATAATAGAATGAAATTTATATTCTATTTTATTTTATTATGTTATATTTCATTCTGCTCTATTTCATCTATTTAAATATAATTTATTTTAAAAATATAGCGTACCAATGAAAAATGAATACATGATATCTAAGTTAGATTAATTTTTTTAAAAGTAAATATGATTTAAATTTTGTTATAAATCTATTTAAGTAAAAATATTAAATCACAAGCTATAAAAAAATCCTTTTAAACTTACTAGGACATCTATAAATATTTATATTTATTATTATTATTATTATTATTATTATTATTATTATTATTATTATTATTATTATTATTATTATTATATGTTAATTATGAATTTAGCATTTTTTTAGTAACTTAAGTTTATTAATCTACATTAATTTTTTCATATTTAAATGTATTAATATTTTATATAATCATATTCTATAAAATGTCAAATCAAATATCAAAATAAAACTTAATTATTTTAGAAAGTGAATAAAAATAAGCTAAAAATAATTAATAAACAAATACAAGTAGTTTTAAAAAAAAATCAAAATCAATAGTTTCACAAAACTTATAACATTAAATAAGCTCATATAATTCAATTCAAAGAAGTCCTTAGTCTCTTTAGTCTTTTAACTTATTAATCTATTTATTTAAATAAATTTAAATGAAATAAACTTTTGAAATAGATACCAAATATAGTTTCAAAAATTTTCATATTCAAACTTAAATATAAATCAATAAATCCATCTATTAATTTTTTGATCAAGTCAAACTTAAATTTGACAAAAATGTAACTCATCCCAACTTATTTGTCTCTTAACTTAACTTTATACTACTACTATATGATATATCCCTTTCTCAAATAGTATTAAATAAAATTTAATTATTTAATTTATAATGAGATTGAAACGGAATAAAAGTAAAATTGTTTTTATCTTATTCTATTTTATTTTTACCATCCCTTTTCTTTTCATTCGATTTAGATTGAATAGGAAATTTATTAACTGTCATAAAACATATACTAACAATAAGAGATGCAAACAACATCTAATATTTAAAGGGATTTACCAATACAGTGTAATGTTGGTAATTAGTTCTATCAACTAACCAACCAACCAACCTTAGAAAGATAACGATTCTGCTTTATTCTTAAGACATTAATATTGTCATGATTTTTTACTATTTCATTGAGACTCGTGAACCCCACCAACTTATCAACCACCGATTCATCACATGAAAGCTTGTTGCAAGAACCTCCCTCTCTCAGATTATTTTCTTCTCTTAAATTCTAAGTTTCTAGTTTAAGGATAAATTATGGAAGATACAGTATATGAATTAAATTAAGGTATGCGTTTTGTGCATTTGGACTCGTATTGTTTTTATATTGGTGGACGGTAGTTAACGTAGCATTTTATTCTTAAATAGATTCGAAGTCTCTGATTTAAGTGTGGTGAATGATTACAGCCATTAATGTCACAAGTCACAACCACTGAGAAAGAAAAATTAATTGGAATTTAATAATGGATAAATGGGAAAGCGAAGTGCCGTCTCTTGCCTGACTTAACGGAATGAAAATCATCATGTCAATTTCAAAAAAAGATGATAGTATTAATAAACAATCATTTTAGTCTACTCATAATATATTTGAAAATAGCAAACAAGTGCTATTATTCTTTAAGGTGCTATAAAAAATGGATAGAATGAAATAGGATGAAATGAAATAATATTATATATTGTATTGTTTGAATTAATTAAAAATAATAATGAAATTGTCACTAGTGGATCTAGAAATTTTCTTTGTTGGGGCTAAAAAAAAAATTCATATATTTTGAATAAAGAAAAATATTTCAAATGTAATGTTTATACACAAAGAAATATATAAATTACAAATTCTTTGTCTAAATTTTCATATTTAAAATATTCAATATTTATTAATATTTTTAATTATTAAACACGTCACTCTATCTATCTATTTAATATAAATTTAAGATTTTCACGATGAAAATCTTATTAGGTAAAACCCTAACCTCAATGATGATGTGTCATTCTCACAAAATTCTATCAATTAAAAAATATTGAAATTTCTCAATTAAAAATATCACTATTATCTTAATAATTATTAATTAAATACTCTACATTGATGATTTTCAATTAAAAAAATCACTATTATGTTAATAATTATTAATGAAAAAACTCTCAATTGATAATCAACATTACAAAAATGGTCTATTTCTAAAAATTTGAATTGAATACTCCTACGAATAATAAAAACACTTCAAAAAATATGTATTTGAATTATTCATATAATTTAAAAATATATTTTGAAAGCAAATATTTATAATTTTGGGTTTAAAAATATTCCTATAAATAATAGAAAAATCTCAAAAACCAAATATATAAATTATATATAATTTTAGAATATATTTTAAAAATAAGTATTTAAAATTTTAGTTTTAAGAATACTCTTTAAATAAGTATCAGATGAGTTTTCAAGGTAAAATTTAAGTCAGATGGATCAATTGGCAAGCACAAAGTAAGTCTAGTGGCTAAGGGTTTTCTTCAGAAACCTGAGCTAGAATACTTTGAGGTGTTTGCGCCTGTAACTAGACATGAAGCAACCAGACTGGTGATTGCTATAATTGTAAATAGAAATTGGCTTCTGA